CATTAGCCGTTATTAACTAGTCATACCCGATCCCAAGTGATGCCCCATCCGAGGGCCGAATCCGCGACCTTTAGAACAGAACGCTCTAACCTCGGGTTCGAACTTCGGATGGAACACCATCTGAGGTTGAGTATGACCGGCTGGTGCCGGCTTATGAGCCAGAAATGGCTATACGGCTGCTAGCTGGGCTCAAGAATGATTCCCAATGAGGAGTGGGACCAGAAAGTTCCGTTAGTGATCGGTGAACGAGTGCCACTGTGTATTTCGCAGCCGTACAATCAGACCTCATCTTCCTACATCACCAGATGCTATCTCTTTACTTGAGAGGAAGTTGAGTACTGCAAAGTCTGTGTGAGATACATGGTAGTTTACGATGTGCTCAGTTACTCAGTCTCTTCTGCGACTAAAGATGTTAGTGGATTGTGCAAGTTGCTAAAAAGTCTTCTACGGTTTTTTTCTTCCGCGTCTAGGTCAACTCAAATTAAGCAAATCTGCCAAACCTCTTAATAATTAAGTCAGCTTAGTAGTCGTTCTGGTGGATTCTAGATGATTGCTTAGGAAATTCTGCTTGTGCAGTCAGTTTGCTGTTCCGTATTGGTGGATTCCGTACGAGCGGTAAAGTTGGGCGGATAAAATCGACCGAAGTGTGATTAAATTCATGGCGCGAGGTGGGGCGTTTGTAGCTCAAACGGTTAGAGCGTTGGCTTCCGGTAAAGGTCTTCTCTTCTATGCGGGCTCAAATCCCGCCGAACGCCTCGAGTTTTTTTTCACAATTGGGTCAACTCAGATTTAGCTCTGGTTGAAAAAAGGCGTTTTTTAACTTCTGTTTTTTTGTAAACTTTTATAGCTATGGATGGGTACCCACCCGTCGGGTCCTTCAAAGTTTGTGGACCAAGGCGGCGAAAACCTCGCCGACTACATCAACAAGGACACCTCGGTTCTGGGCGCGGAGTCAGTGAAGCTTTTTGGCAGCACACTGCCCTTCCTCTTCAAGGTGTTGTCTGTCAACAAGGCCCTCTCCATTCAGGCACATCCGAACAAGGTAAGCGGCACGCCCCTTCTCCTTGTCATTTGGAAGCATCTAACCTAGGGGGTGGG